ATCTGGTAGGGAATGAACCTACCGCCCTGCGATTCTGGTGCAGCGCTCTAACCAACTGAGCGACAGAGGCCAGCTGTTGAGCTGTAACCGTAAGTTCATGTATATATAGGTGATCGGGTGTGCGGGTTGTAGTAAGGTGGACCCCAGGTAGTTCAGCACCTGAAGCTTTCTTAACATTTTTATTCTACGTTTCAATTAATTAACAATTATTCGCCAATTAAGGCGAGGTGATTATCGGTGAATAAAAACCGAGACGAAGTCGAGGTTTTTATTCACGATGATTACCGAGCCTGATGTGAATAATTGTTTTACATAGTATAATTTCATTGGTGATTATTTGGAAAAAATAAAAAATACACATTTCGTCGTCATTTAATTGACAACGGCTTCGACCCTCATTTCGAAAATTGCTTAGGCGATTACCGCATTATATAATCACCTCAACGGCAACCAATCAGCGTGGAGAATTTTCAGTAATCACCTATAATTTATACTAACTTGTATTAATCATGTAATACAAACATTCAAACAGTTTTTGCTACCCAACACCTAACATCTTAGCATACTGACTACATACAACATAATTACATTAATAAATAATTGTAACATTATACCTTCATCAGTAATTTTTTTGGAATAGATCTTGCTTTGTGTGGGACATCCTGGGACTGTGATGCTCAAATTAATAGATACAGTTTGTACAGTGATTATATAATGAGAAAGTTGACATATTCTCCCAAATTCTTGTGTTGGGTTGTCTCTACATTCAGTCAAAGGTTTATATGTTGGGCACTTAGAACAAATTTCTGGAAAGTTAGGGTGAATACAGCAGCCAGTGATTGTGTAGTTTGCATTCTGTACCGTACGCAACCAAGATGCATCTGTACTAAAGTCTTTCCAATACGTTATGGCCACCTCAGGAACTAGTAAATAAAAATTGACCAATTAAACAATTCAGCCATTGCAAGCACTCAGGGTGCGAAATAACGGCCAGTCAACGGGCACTGACTTAATACAAATTCAGAAAGGCAATTTCTGGCAAGTTTAGACAGTTCTTATTCATATATTTTAAGAATAGAATTAGTATATCGTGATCTGCCCCTGGCTTGATTCATGGCAGAGTACTTCCACTGCAATCAGGCGCTGCAATTATCCTGAATTAGTCTCATCGACTTCACAAATTGTTCGCACATTGCTAAATAATGCATCGAATTGCAAAAAAAAAAAAAAACAGATTCATAAAGCCCAGTAAATTTCCTATAACATACATCATCTTCAGCAATCACAAGCCTTTTTTGTCAGTAAAAAACCATAAAATGTTCAATCTTATGCAGCGAGAGTGAGTCTCCTCACACTCCGACTATTCTGTTGAGAGCTCACAAATTTGAATGACACTCTGCTGTCAATGCATTCAGATCAACCAATGATAGCAGAGTGTGTAATCCAAATTTGTGAGCTCTCAACGGAATAGTCGGGGTGTGAGGAGTCACGCTGCATAAGATTGAACATTTTATGTTTTTTACTGACAAAAAATATGATGCATGTTATAGGAAATTTACTGGGCTTTATGAATCTGTTCTTTTTTGGTAATTCGATGCATTATTTAGCAATGTGAGAAGAATTTGTGAAGTTGATGCAACTAATTCGGGATAATTGCAGCGGAAGTACTCTGCCTTCTCTATTTTTCTCCTTATTAAGCAGACATATCTCAAGCGGATTGAATCACACCAAATCAAGCCAGAAAAGTCAATTACACATTGTAGTAGTGGTAAGCAACATTATTTCTCAATTTAATACAATATTTTAGCATTTTTTGACAATATATAGTAATTATATTCTGTCATAGTATAAGCCAATATAAAAATACAAATATACCCCAACCACGTGTGAGCTTGAGATGCTGTGGAGAGATTAAAATAAAAATAGCAAAAATTAGGTGTTTTAGTGATATCCAAGAGGGAAAAGCAATATCCTAATGTATGAGTCAATATTAACCCCCACACACCCCACCACACCCTGGCAAAAAGTGGGGATTTCTTTTGGCCACCTTTCTAAAATAGGCAAAAGCCCCCACAACAGGGAACCACCTTCTCATCAAAACTTGACTAATAGCCCCATACCCGAGGCTGTTCCTTTTCAATTTTAATAGCAGTAATACAAACGGATAGAAGATTATAAGAAACATGAAAAGATTATAAAAAACAGTTTTATAGACTTGTTACACAAAACCTACTGAGGTGCATGCTCTGGCATGTTTTTTCTTTATTTAATTAAACAATCTTTTGTGAGGAAGACTTATCATCAAAGATGGTTTTCATAAGGGTCCTCAAATAAGAAGGAAATAATTATTACATAAAATACTGACTATAATTATTCAGATTATAATATATATCTACTCCAAACAGAATACAGCATGCAACAAGATTATGAAAATTAATTAATTAGAAATCCTAAGAAAGTTCAAAAAGTTAATTAAATGGTCAACGTGTCATCAGTAACTGTCGTTTTAGGCATGTTCACACCTAAATTTACAAAATGATGATCATTGAATCAAAATGCGACATTTGTGAAAACCCTTTTATACTGTATATTTTAGACGTAAAAAAACCCTGTGGTTCCAGGGTTTCATATTGCGAAAAAATTAGGGTCGGTAGGTCGGAAATAATTTTTTTTTTTAATATTTTTTTCATGGTTTTTTCAATAATTAGTGTGACAACAGATGCCATTTTGGCAGTAGCCCACAACAACCACCCAGAGAAAATAGGGTCGCATGGACTCAATTGCGTTGAAAAAATAATAGGGTCGGCAGAAAAAAATAGGGTCGGTCGGGAACCGGAACCACAGGTATTTTTTTTATGCCCCATGAAAATCTTCCTCTCTCCATATGGTTTCTGTTCCCTTGACCATATGCATTACGATAAAAAAATCCATTCAAATTCCCCTACCCCCGGAGGCAAATAACATGCAAAATGCTTCAAATGCCCCAGGGTCATAGGCCAAAAAATTAATATATGTCCCTGCTATGCCCCCGGTAAACCCCACCTTTGGGGGTGGGGTGGGGGGGGGGGGGGTTGCCTATATTAAATGGAACGGCCCATTACAGAACAACGTGTGCTAATCAATCCCACAAAATGTGCTTGAAAATCCCACAAAAAAGCCCCTTTTGAACCGATATTTTGTCGCTTCATATTAAACTACAACAGGCCATGAAATGGGGAGAAAATTGAGGTTACATTTATACAACACAAATGGTCTGCCAACCCTTGAGTAGCAGAAATAGTGAGGTGCTATCTAAAAAGTCGTGAGATTGACTGAAAAATCGTGAGACTTAGAAATTTTCAGGTTTGGTCTTTCATATGACCAGGGTTAACTTTAACAACACTAGAAAATAATCAATAGATATTCAATCTTAGGATAGTATGCGTTATATTTTGTTATGCAAGGCTTATTAAAAATAGGCTGTTTTTTCTTTATGGCTTTTATAGTAGCTTCCACTGCATACAAAAACAAGAAAATTACGAGTAATATTAAAGGTGATCTACAGTCCGTATGTAAACAAAGCCTTTGTTTACATTTTTGTGTCCAAAATATTGAGCTTTATTCGACAACTATTTATATTTTCAAGCTTCTAGAGTATAATAAATGATCAAGAAACAACAGTTAGGCTTTTCAAGAACTCAAAACATAGTTAAACTGTTTGTATTATAAAAAGTGGGCTCATTTGTGCACATGCGCAGATCGGACTGTAGATCACCTTCAAGACTAGAGGACAATAAACTTAGCAGGACACGCCTTTTACTTTGTAACATAAACATCACGTATACAAAATTCTGGCGTTGTACATTGTGCATTAACTAATAAAGTGTGATCCTAATTGTAACTAGATGTTGCGCTTTTCGATGATTTCATAAGTTCCGAAAATCGTGAGATTTGGGGACTTAATCGTGAGAAAGCATCAAAAATCGTGAGTCTCACGATTAAATCGTGAGACTTGGCAGGTCTGCAAATGTGTGCTTTTATACAGTAATATCACAGAGATCTTTTGACCAAACCCGAAGAAAAGCTTGGCATGAAAGCATGGTTGTTATAATACAGATTTGCATGGATCGAGAATAAGGCATTAATTAAACACACACCTACAGTACAATTTACAGTACTCAAGACTTATTAAGTATACACACAAACCTTTAATCGAACTACAATTTGTAGCTTCTGTACCGCAAGCGGCGAAAACAAACAACAAGATTCTGACCCAAGGCACTCGCATATTTGATGTTGCTTTTTAAACCTTAGAATTGAACACATACACCGTATATTCCCTCGCCAATTCAGTTTCTCTTTGGGAAAACAGGTGGGAAATTTGTCGTCGCTGACCAAAAAATTGCGGGCAGAAACACAGCTCATTGCATTTACATTCAAAACAAAGCAGAAAGTTAGCAAGAAGCTGTTTTAGCTGACGATTTTTTGCTTTCCATTCAACGATTTACAAATTATTGGTTATTCTTTTAAAAGTCGATCATGCACTCTTTGTTTTGGGATGATTGTTTTGTAATCGAGTGATTGGAAGAAGTTAATATGGCGACGTGAACATGGGAGTAAATACCGTATACGTCGATCTATGGCTTGTTTAAAACCGTAATAAACGAAGAAAGACGTGATTTGAGAATGAAATGTAAGTTGAAATTAACTTTATATGCCTCAAATTTTCCATCCTATGTTTCTTAATGTAACTTCAGCTGTCTAAGTTCAAAATACAAGCTCGCGAAATTTGACAAATTTTGAAAATATGTAAAAATAGCTTGACTTTGAACTGTATTTTCTCAAAAATAGCCCGTGGCCTCAATTTCAAATATAGCTAAATGAAAAGAAAAAAGTTTTCGGCGTTTGTAGGTATCAAACATATCGTCAGGAAAATAGGGGCTCACAATGTTTTAGTTCAGTCTTTGAGACCCAGTTGCTTCGCACGTGTTGTGGTCAAATTTTTGCCAAGAATCAAAGGCCGAAATGTGAACTTCCTTCATGAAAACCGGCTTCGAGAAGGGTCTAGTTTGAAAATTTAGCTATTAATTTCGATTTCATGAGCATATTTTGGTTACACGTTAAGTATTTTTGTGCTTGATGCGATTCAAAATTTGTTGTATATTCAAGCCCGGCTTTTGTGTAATTTTGGTGATGACCGGAACAGAAATAAAGATATTTTAAAAACTGGCCGTGGCCTCACGATAAAACTTTCTACAAATGTTCTTTGTTTCATGTACTTTTATTTGATATCTTAGGTATAAGCGTAAAAATAGGGGCTCATACAGTTTAAGAGGTTGTAAAATGCATGACTTGCCTCTATTTTCATGTAAACATTCGAAATTCTTCGACAGCAAAGTAGCAACTGTTTCAGATCGAATGCACACGGACAGCCCACCAGAGACAATGGCAGGTTACTGAAATAGAACGTCACTAAAAAGTTCTGTATGATTAATTAAATCATGTCCACTCTTTCAACATAAAACAGTAATTTATTTTGTACAAACATTTTGCATTATTTACACGATTGTGCTTTTTTGTAAACACGCGTTGCGTGTATTCCACACAATTGCGTGACTCATTTTACTCGCGCATGCTCAGACAAATTTCCCACCTGTTCTTTGGGAATCAAACCTTCTAGCTTCGAAACTTGTCTGAGTTGTCTCTGTCTTTTTCTCCGTTATATCAATATCACGTGACTTTTGCTTGGATAAACGCGAAAAATTCCAATTTTTACAAGCGAATTGAGACGACTTTACTGCCAATTTACAGCCCGATAACCGCCCGATTTCTTGTAGAAAATGTCCCAGAAGCAGGAATAGAAGCAATTTGAATTAGATCATGCCGTTTGCCGCGCATTATCACGCACATGATCAAACATTGATTGACTCAAAAAACATTCGAACCGAGCTAAGCTGAATTGCGAAGGACGCAGGTATGACCTGATCGAGTCGAAAGCATCTAAGGGCGCCTCTGACAGCCATTATAGTCAGTTTTCCACTTCAACCGTACCGTACCACAGAGTAGATAAGACATATGTCTCTACTCTGTGACCGTACCGTACCGAAACATACTGATGCAGATAAATCCACGTACTTCCGGGTGTATTCGCGTATCAAAATGAAAAGTTCGTCGCAAGTCAACTTTTTTGCGTCCTACGAAGTATTAACCAATCAACATTCACTAAATTTTGAAATTTAAAATGTTTTTGATACGTTTCGATACGGTACGCTTGAAGAGGAAAACTGGCTTATGACTCATGTCCAGGGCCGTATTAACCACGTGGCAGATGCGGCATATGCCGCGGGCCTCGCGCTTATGGGGCCTCGCGCTTATGGGGCCTCGCGCTTATGGGGCCTCGCGCTTATGGGGCCTCGCGCTTATGGGGCCTCGCGCTTATGGGGCCTCGCGCTTATGGGGCCTCGCGCTTATGGGGCCTCGCGCTTTACTGTGCCACGCCCATTTTACCGAGAACACGCCTATTTTCTATTGGGATACGCCCATTTTAGGTGCCTCGCGAATTAGGGACATCGCGCATTTAGGGCCCCCAGTTTACCCCAGGAAAATATACAATACTCGTATGCATGTAATCTCCAGTTGCGCTGATCTGTTATATATGATCCTGTTTATACTTGTTGACCCAACAACTGGACCAGGCAGGTAATTGTTTATAATTGATGCCAATCAATTGAAATATTGAAAGCAATTATTTAACAATTTTGTGTGTCTTTGAATTGCAAAGGTTTTCATAACGGGAGGGGGTTGAGGGGCCTCGCGCTAAAATCTGCCGCGGGCCTCGCGCGAGGTTAATCCGGCCCTGCTCATGTCTGATCACCATCACCACCATCATCACCACCATCACCATCACCACCACCATCATCACCATCACCACCACCATCATCACCATCACCACCACCATGATCACCACCACCATCACCACCACCATCACCACCATCACCATCATCACCATCACCACCA